TTTTTCATTGGATTTGAGCTGTACTCAGCAAGCGTAGTACAGACCCCCAATCAGATCAAGAAAAAAAATCAGCGGAAGGCTGTTTTCTGACTGGTTGGCGGACCGCCGACCGGTCGGCCAGCCTGGTTGGCTGCAAACCGGTTGACGGTCGGGGTCGGCGATCGGCGGGGGTGCAATCCTGTTAACTTCCAAAAAAAAAGAAAGAAGTAAAAAAAAAAAGAAGTAATGTCATTAGCGCAATTATTGTTTTGGTTCCTCATCCATTCTGAACTTCTAACCTTTCATTGGATTGTTTCACATTTTTTGGTTAATATGTTGTTTTCCTGAACAGGAATGATCCTTGACGTGTATGAAGCTGTCAGAAACACCTTCCTCGTGGAGCATCACCGTCACTACATCTTCACTCCACGTCATCTCACTCGCTGGGTTCAGGTTTTGAATCAACTCCACCATGCTTCCTTTTTTTTTTTTTTTTTAACAACTTCTTTGTTCAACCAGTTTGATCGATTAACTGTCCTTGTTACACTGAAACAAGCAGACCAAGATCAGAACAAGAATGAGAAAAAGAACCAGAAAAAGAACCAGAAAAAGAACCACAGAAGGAACCAACCAGAAAAGGGACCAAAAATAGGATGGTACCAGAATGAGAGCCAGGAGCAGAATATAATGGATGAAGACGAGGCAAAAGCAAAAGAACACAGAATAAGATCTGTGGATTTAGTTTTAGCAGATGGGAAAACAGGAGAAATAGAAGTTAAATCCATTATATTTAAGTTGTGGGAGGAAACACAGGACACACAAAACCTACCAGAGAACTCATCCCACCCCACAAACGAAGTAGAGGTAAGCCAACATATCGCCCAAAGCTTCATTTAAAGAAAAGGACCCTCCTCACAGGCATGTCTAGACTATGGCAAGGGCGCCTTTCTCAACTTTAGAATAAGCCAACTTATCGGCCCAAAGCTTCATTTATAAAAAAATAAAAAGGACCATCTCCACAGGTATGTCTAGAGGCTCAAGAAAAGGAGCCCACGTAGCCATTTTAGACAATTAAAGGAAGAAGTAGGAGAGTAAAGGGGCCTCCCTCAAAGTAAGCAGTAGAGTAGGGGACACAAGTAGAAAAATAGGAGTCATTCTTAGCACAAGGAATAGCCATGTTACAAGCCTGTAGGCTAGGGTGTAGGCCTCCCAGGATTTAGGGTTTATGCCAATGTAACCAAGAGAGATGACAGTCCAAGGGGGTCAGTCAGGTGTTAAGGGTTGCAGCAGGGTGGGGCAAGAGAAAGATAATGAAAAGGTTAGAATTCCAGGCACTGGTAGAAGGCGCACCCCATATAGGGAAGTTAGGGAACAATATAGGTCTCGGGTCTCTAGATGTTCTGGTAACCAGGAGAAGCTGCGCTAGCGCTAGCGCCCTGACGCCAGCAGACCGGCAAAGCCCGGTCCCTCCGGCTAGACTAGCGCCTGGGGAGGGGAGCTCCTCGGCTGCTAGGCCTGTGCAGGCACCCGACAGACACATGTGGCTCCTTTCACCACGTGGCGTCTGTTGTTGGCGACGTGGCCGTCCCGTGTCGCGCGGGCAGGGGTAGCACCAGCTGTGAGGTTGATGCAGAAACACCAGACGGGCGCAGCTATCTGGGTAAGAGATGGAGTTGGGGGGGGAGCTACAACGTGGAGCAGACGAATGGCTGATGACCTTGGAGAAGGGATGCAGGCGGTTACAGGTGATTGTGGGGGAGCTGTCTTTGTGGTCGCATGAGGAGCCAGAGGTCGAAGGGGGAGCGATTTCTCTGGCTGATTGGTTGAAAGATATGACTGACGACATGCTGGATATTATCTGGGAGCTGGAGGAGGGGCCGGATCCCCAACTTGAAGCCTGAATCGATTGGAGGAGGGCAGATGGCATGATGTCTACCTGCTATGCCCTCTTCACTGAGGGTCGCAACCTGTGCTATATGCTTGAGGACCGGCTGGAGGGCGATAACAACATGGAGGATGAGGACTGGCAGGAGGATGGAGTGAAGGAAGACGAAGATAACTCCGGCGTCAGCATCAACAACAACAACAACTTGAACGACGACGACGACAACGACAACGACAACAACAACAACAACAACAACAACAACAACAACGGCAACGGCCACAGCGACAACAACAACTTCAACAACGACAGCGTGGTCGGGGACGATGGTAAAAGCAACAACAAGGACAACAAAATCAAAAACAACAACAATGACCACGGTAACAGCGGGACTGGCAGCAGTGACCGTGCAACCAATTTCATCATCAGAATGGTGAGTGAGATGCCGGGATCTGGCGTGGACAGTGGGAAGGGGATTGGGGCTGAAACAAAGTGGTGTTCTATTCTTCCCCCCTCCAATCTTGATATGGAATTGTTTCTTGCTGTCCGGCTCAGGGAGGGGGTAGGATAGTCGAAGGGATTGAAATTGCCCGACCTGCAATTCCAATCAAGAAGGGCGATTAGCCTCTGATGGAGATATGGCTGATATGGTTCATAAGGAGGTTTAGGGTTTCCCCCATGCATGACATATTTTGATTGATAAATATAAGATAGGCATGTTTTGATGATGGCCCCCAAGGGGAGGTGGGTAGTTTAGGGTTTCGTGCTTTGCTTTGACTTCTTTGTTGGGGGATTGGTGAACATGCGTTTTGGACTGGAGGTTAATCCTTCCTTTACGCAGGGAAGTAATCAATGCCTCGGCTCTTTTATGAGATATAGGTTGACGTGCGAACACACAATAGGGATGCTGGTCCCGATTTCCAGCTCATACACATCACATCTGTGTTAGGGTTTCGTGTCTTGCGTTCAGGAGGGAGGCGGGGCGCAGCGCGACCGGGAGAGCCGCGCCCCCGCTCGAGCACTATCGGAGCGGACGCGGCGCGATGCTGGAGTCAACAGGGAGTCATGCAACGCGGTGGGCGGGTGGGGGCTGTGGTGCGAGAGACTTGACAGTAGGAGGGCAGAGATGGTATGGCGTGACTAGGTGTGGCCTGCCTTTTGAAAGCACAACGGTGCCATCTTCGACTTCACGCTTCATCTAGCGATGCTGCAGATCAGCACGTTGAATGAAGGGAAGACTGACTTTGAAAGGGGATGGATCTTCATGAGATTCTTGACATATGGGTTGCCTTTGCTCCTCTGCCTGTGTAGTTTTGTGGAGGAAGGTCGGTTATTGCAGGCTGAAAGGGAGGAGCGCGTCCTCACGTGGAGTGGGAGGAGGATTGGGGGCGGCATCGATTCCGCGTTTTTTTGAAGAAGGGCACAGCGACATCGGCGGTAACTGCGGTTTCGTCACAAGGGCATCTGGAGTGCGCGGGCGCTGTGGTCGATTTCGTTCACCTTGTTGACTGCATATTCAGGATGAGCTTGCTTTTCTTTGGATAGACCCTCTCGCTGATCATATGAGGTATAATGGATAAACTAGATTACTTTGATTCGCGTTGTAAGTTTTCAGTTCCGATTCCTGAAAATCTCAGTCTATGATTTTTTACATGTTGCATTCTTGATGCAGATTTTTTAGTAGATCTTGATCGGTAGTTGGTACTTTTTACTTTCTCATCTACTGTCTTGATTGTCGATTCGTTTTCGGCTTAGAATCTCCCGATTACTGTCTGAGTGACCTTCCCTCTTAATTGATTGTCGATTGGTCTTTTCTGTTTAGTAATTCTTGATTTACAGTCTGAGCGATTTCTTGAACTAGGGTTCTGGAAATCAGAGTCGAAAGTTTGTGAGGACATCAGAATCTACTTCCTATTTAGTTTTTCTTTTTGAAATTCGTTCTGAATTGGATGCCAAGAATTCATGACCTAAATTACCTTGATTACTAATTGATCTGATATTCAAATTTTATTTATAAAAAAGACGCGATACAGATCTGATTTTCGATGAAAAGATCTATGACTGTGGTGGTGCTTTTTCTGTTGATGGTTGCCTAGGGGGAAACTAGAATGGGTGGATGGAAAGAATGAAAGGGGACTTTCAACAGACGGGAGATGTCGGTTAAGGTGAGTAGGTCAGGAGGACAATGCTGGGACGACATAGACCGGTGCTGGAGTTGTGCTCTGTGACCCAGGGGGAGCTTGAGGTCCATGGAGTTATGTCGAGGGTGGAAGGCATAACCAGATCGTCCAACGTAGTTGGCACCGGGGTGTGGACCCTGTAACCTGCTTAGGGGTTTGCCGCTAAAGGAATTGTCGAGGAAGGAAGACACTTCCTGTCCGTCAGAACTAGGTTGGTCGGTATTGGGGTGGTTTGTGGTGCCCTGTTACCCTAGCAGAGGGGGGTATGAGACCATGTGAGTTCTGGTACGAGGACTGAAAGCCGGGACCGACGGTCCGCTCGTTGAGAGGGGGATTTTAGGATAGTTGGTATTAATTTCTAGTTTTGATCCCCCTTTTTTCGGAATTTTATCATGTTTGGCCGTTAAGGGGGACTTGAGAATGTTTAGGATTTTGGGGCTTCTATCAACTTTTCCCAGGCTGCTTTGAAGTTGTTATACTCAGCAATCTGTGGTTGTTCGATGCCAGAACGATGCTGGCCGGTGCTGGGGTGTTGCCTTGTAACCTGTTGACGCAGGAGCGTGAGGCCTAGTAGAGAGATCTGGGGATGCTTTGGGGTGGGCATC